ACTATCATTTTTATTTCATAAAAAAAAAAAAGAATCTTAACTACCCTGGTTTAAAAAAAAAAAGAAAAGAGAGGAAGGGCATAATACCCAAATTAATTTAGATTTGTAAAAACCTCTACATTGTCTTTTCTGAAAACCAATGAACACATCACAGACCAGTGTGAGGGAACCTCGGATCTTCATGCCCTGCTCTTGCTTTATGGATGAGGCCACCGAAGACTGGTGAAATGACATGCCCAAGGTCACAAAGTGGCTGCAATGTCTCATCACTATCTAACAAAACACTTGTGGATGTGAGATCCTTTCCTGCAGCCAAGACCAGTGCCCTGGGCTGGGATTTAGGTGGTCTGGGCTCTATGACAGCCATTGGCCCTCAAGCCACACTTTCTGCTTTTTCTGCTTTTCTAAAATGGGGATGAAATCGTCCCCTCATTCAAGACTGGCGTGAGAACCTGATGAAAGAAGAGTTTAAAAAGTGCTCTGGAGATGCCTATCAGGCTATTACAGAGTGAGATATTCAGAGCAAAAATTCCTGCTGTCCGTGACTCGCTGGAAAATATTTCAGCCAACAAAAGCAGATGAAGCAAATACGGCACCATATGAACCCTGATTAAATCTAAGTCGTGGCTCTTGTGATGCTAGCTTCTCCACTTTTCTGCATTCTTGAACCTTTTTATAATAAACATTCCATCAAAAAAAAAAAAGGTCTCTGGCAAGGTTACTCACAGAGAAGATGCCCTCAGGGAGATCCAAGTCCTGGGCTCTGCAGCCAGATGGGGTCTGCTACCCCAGAAGATGGAGCAGCCCACTCTTCACCAGCCTTGGGCATAAAGAACCATGGTCAGGAAGTGATTTTGGCTTCCTCCCCAGGCAGGCCCGGTGCCTGCAGCTGAGTGAGGCAAGCCTCTGGCCGCCCCTTCTCAGTGCAAGGCACCAGCTGACAGACCCAGCCCTGCTGCAGCAGTGGGGACAGTGGGGGCTGCCTAGCACAGCCAACCGGTGTGGGGGGGCTTATGAATATGCATTTAGAGGCCAGAGCTGGTTGGCTGCCACCCCCCACCATCTCCCCCCCCCCCCCAACTCGGATGCCCAGGAAAGCCAGCTGGGAGAAGATATATTTTATAATAAAAAATGTTTTTTTAAAAAAATTCCCTTTTGATGGGGCGCCTGGGTGGCTCTGTCCATTAAGCATCTGCCTTAGGCTCAGGTCATGATCTCAGGGTCTTGGGATGGAGTCCCACATCGGGCTCCTTGCTCAGCGGGAAGCCTGCTTCTCCCTCTGCTTCTACATCTCCCCCTGCTTGTGCTCTCTCTCTCTCTCTTTCTCAAATAAATAAATAATCTTTAAAAAAAAATCCCTTTTGATGGGGCGCCTGGGTGGCTCAATTGGTTAAGAGTCTGCCTTCAGCTCTGATCCTCCGGGGAGCCCCATGTCTGGCTCCCTGCTCAGTGGGGAGTCTGCTTCTTCCTCTGCCCCTCCCCCCCCGCTTGTGCACGTGCACTCGCTTACTCTCTCAAATCAATAAATATAATCTTTTAAAAAATAAAATAAAGTTCCCTTTTGAAATTAAAATAAAACATATGATCCAGTAATCATACTACTGGGTATTTACCCAAAGAATAAGAAAATACAAATTCAAAAGGATATGTGCACCCTTCTGTTTATTGCAGCCTTATTTACAACAGCCAAATTATGGAAGCAGCCTAAGTGTCACTGATAGATGAATGGATAAAGAAGACGTCATATTGATAGATATAGATAGAGACACATATATACACTGGACTATTACTCAGTCATAAAAGAGAATGAAATCTTGCCATTCGTAACAACTTGGGTAGATCTAGAGAGTATAACGCTAAGTAAAATAAGCCAGCCAGAGAAAGATAAATACTGTATTTTTTCACTCATATGTGGAATTGAAGAAACAAAACAAAGGAGGGAAAAACGACAAATCAAAAACCAGACTCTTAGCTATAGAGAACACACTGATAGTTACCAGAGGGGAGGTGGGGGGATGGGTGAAATAGGTGAAGAGGATTAAGAAGTGCATTTATCTTGAGCACTGAGTAATATGTAGAATTGTTGAATCACTATATTTTACCTGAAACTAATATAACATTGTATGTTAACTATATTGGAATTAAAATATTTTTTAAATGTGAAATAAATAAATTCCCTTTTGAGCCATAAACACAAGTTTATGAACTTATATACATAACTCCTGTCGAAATAGATGATGCTGTGTCCTAGGAGGCTCTAAATACAGAAGTGGGTGAGAGCTCATTGGGTTGCACCTTGGACTCCACCGAAGCTCATATGTGAGTCTCAAGGAAATCAATTTCAACCTATATCCTCTGAAAGAGACTTCACATGCTACTGTGCAAGTGTGTGTATGTCTAAATCGTAACATCTGAGATTAACTTGGGCGATCATTGAAATTCTATGAGAAATGCTTTGCCACGTCATCCAGGCCTGAGCTTCTAAACTTTAGATAAGAATCTCTACAGTTAATTACTTAAAGATGAAAAAATTAAGTAGCTGTCTAAGAAATATTAACAGCAAACCCTTCAAGGGATTCCTGTTTTGGGGACTCTTCAGCTGCATCTAGCAGTCTTGTAAGCATGATGTCTTAGTCATTCCACTTGTATTTCTTGAGTACCTACAGACTACCAGGCACTGTGTTCTGTGCAGGGGATTCAGGAAAATAGAGTCATCATCTCTTTCCTCCTTCTGCTCTGCCCTGGAAAGAAGACAGGCAAAAAGCATATTATAATGCAAAGAAGAGATACGGGCATAATGCTTTGGAAGTACAGAAAGGGTATCTGTTAACTCTGACAGAGGGCATTAGGAAGGGACTCAAAAGAGACTTAGAGGATGATTAGGAGTCCCTAGGCAAATGGGAGGTGGGATCAGCCCACACAAAGATGGGAAGGAGTGAAATAGCACATGGGGGCCATTGCTAGTAGTGTGTAGGACTAAAAAAACTCAGCACCTGTAAAAATCACGGGGTGGATCATAACCTAGCCCAAGGCCAGGTTATCAGGTGCCGGTCAAACTGAGGAGTTTGAACTTCATCCTCCTGATAGGGAGAAGCAATTGAAAGACTTCAAGCATGAGAGTGACAGGAGTAGATTTGTGTTTCAAAGGATCTTTGACATGGACATGGAGGATGGGTTAGAGAAAGTGATTGTAGAGGCCCAGGTCCCTTTAGGAAGCTTTAAAAATAGTCCAGGTGAAGGATGCTAAGGATGTGATCAGGGGCAGCAGCTGGGCAAGAAAGTTTTCTCTATTTCTAGTTTCTCTCTCTTCTCTATTTCTAGTTTTCTCTATTTCTCTGTTTCTAGTTCTGCTTCTGCCCATCCCTCCAGAATTCCAGTGGAAGTCCTTGCAGAGTTTGGATGAGTGATGGCACCCTAAAGGTGCCTGAGGACGAGGTAAGATGACTCAACTTAAGAAACCAGTATGAGCAGGCACTAGGGACACATTCATTCATTCATTCATTTTTTTTTTTCTTTTTCAAGATTTTATTTATTCATTTGAGAGAGCACAAGCAGGAGAGGCAGAGGGAGAGGAAGAAGCAGACTCCCCCCTGAGCTGGGAGTCCACCGTGGGGCTCAATTCCAGGACCCCAAGATCATGACCCCAGGCAAAGGCAGACATTTAACCATCTGACCACCCAGGCGCCCTCATTCATTCATTCATTCATTCTTTCTTTCTTTTTTTTTTTTTAAAGATTTTATTTATTTATTTGAAAGAGAGAATGAGACAGAGAGAGAGAGCATGAGATGGAGGATCAGAGGGAGAAGCAGACTCCCTGCCGAGCAGGGAGCCCGATGCGGGACTCGATCCCAGGACTCCAGGATCATGACCTGAGCCGAAGGCAGTCGCTTAACCAACTGAGCCACCCAGGCGCCCTCATTCATTCATTCATTCTTAATTCCACCAAAGCTTATAGAAAACCTTTTCTATTAGGAAGGTGAGCTATAGGGGCACCTGGCTGGCTCAGTTGGTAAAGCATGCAACTCTTGATCTTGGGGTGGTGAGTTCCAGCCCCACTCTGGGCATAGAGATTACTTAAAAATAAAATCTTAAAAAAAAGGAAGGTGAGCTATAAAGGTGATTCTGGGCATTCAAGGGGAGGGAAAACTAAAAAGGGGGAGGGTAAGCTATGTGCTTTCACTTTGAAGGTATCAGGCCGAATTGTTATTACACACCTACCTACCTATGCCAATCTCTGTTCTAAGTGCTGTGAATACAGCAGTGAACAAGACAGACAAGGTCCCTAATTTAGTCCTTTATATTCTAGGGATAGAATGACTAATAAACCACCTTCAAAATACACAGGATGTATGGGGAACAATTAGCTTGGCTGGAGAGAGTGTGAGTAGGACTAGGGAAGATCAGGAGATGTCGTTTCAGAAGTAAGGCTACTTGTTGATCTTTGGTAAAAGGGCAATGGGAACCCTTCAGAGGTTCCTTTGGGCTGTTTCTTTGTTCTGGAGTTAGAGAGGCAGGGAAGTGACTCTTCCTTTTTTTAAAAAAATCTATATTTGAGGAACCTGAGGTTCAGGGAAGCGAGGTCACCTGCCCAAGGCCACCCACGTGTACGATCAGGCAGGCTTGTCCGCCAAGGTCCGAGTTCAAAGCCCGTGCCAGCCTCCCGCTCTTTTCCGGTAGTGCAGAGGTGGAAACGTGCGGTGTCCCGGGGTCCCAGAAGGAGACGGGCGCCAAGCTCAGGGCCAGCTCTGCGGAGAGGTGTGGGAGGCGGGGTGGGACCCCTAGGGCGGCCTGGTCTCTGGACGGTCGTAGGCACCCCCGGAGTGCCGGCGCAGGCCGGCAGGCAGTGCAGCAGGCTCCGAGGGCGCTCCGCCGCCGAGGACTCCCGGGCGCAGACCGGTTTGCTGAGGTGGGGGCCGCTTCGCGCTGCTAGTCGGTTCCCCCCCCGCCAGTGGTTCGCTCCGAACACCCCTCCCCGCGCGGCGAGTGCCGCGGCCCGCCCCGCTTCCGGTTGTTGCCGGGCCCTATATCCGGTGTCCGCCCGCCCTCGGCTCCGCCGCCGCCGCGATGCTGTCCCGGTCCCGCTGCGTGTCCCGGGCGTTCAGCCGCTCGCTCTCTGCCTTTCAGAAGGTACGGTCCGGTTGGGCCGAGGTACCGGCGGATGAGAAACCTGCCGGCGGGCAGAGGGGCAGCCTGGGGAGCAGGAGCGCGGCGCGCCGGTCAAGCCCGGCACCAAGGGCACCGGGACGCGGAGGCCGCGCGCTGGGCGGCCCGGGGCCGCCGTTGCTCTCGGGGTCGTCTTGCAGAGCCCAGCAGCCCCCTGCCTTCCCGAGGCAGCCGGCGCCCCGTCCCCTGCTGGGCCCCACCCTCCGCGCCCGGGCGGAGGAGCCGCCCAGAGCCGCGCCCGTCCAGGCACGAGACCCCGAGTTTGGGAGGAGGCGCCGCCGAGTACCCCGACGGGATCGGGGCCCGCCCCCACTCCCGTTAGTGGGTGTCAGCCCCGATGGGAAGTTGAGGTAGCTTGGCAGGCCCAGGGTGTTGACTGGGACTGAGAGCCTTGGCTGTTGCATTTGCCTTTTGGAGTCACGAGATTCACCTGTCACTAGCGCCTGGACAGCTTTGAGTCTGTACTTAAAAAGCTGCTGCTTCCCTCCTTTCATCATGGGTGACGTCGATAATGTCTTCTTTCTCAACAGGGGAACTGCCCTCTAGGGAGACGTTCCCTGCCTGGTAAGTTGTGCCCTTGCCGTTACCTAACGTGCTCTCCTCCTGGGCAGAGCAGTATTTGAGGAAACCGGGGTGCCTATGTTTCTCCACATGATGTGGAGCGAAACAAAGTGCTATTTAATAACAGCTATCCTGTATTCATTTGGCACGTAGTTACCGAGTTTCTACTGCCTATCAGGCAGGCACTGTGCTAGGCGCTCACTAGGGATACAGCAGTTAACAGTTCTGATCTCCTGGAGCTTATGGTCTAGCGGGAAGGACAAAGTGTAAATTGATAAGCAAATGAAGGATCATGAATTTTGGTTAAGTGCTGAGAAGGAAAATGAAGGTGGACAGAAGGCCCTTCTTTAGTAGGGGACATTAAAGCTGCAACCCAGAGGATGTGACAGAGGCGAGTTCAGTGAAGAGCAGGAAAAGGAAAGGGAATAGCATGTACAGAGTCCCTGAAGAAGGGAAGAAGTTGAAGTGTTTTGAAACTGGAAAAAAGGTGATTCAGCCAGAGAATTTTGGTTAAAGGAAGGAATGGCATGAGATAGAAGATGGTGTAGGGACTATTGGAAGGAATTTAGGTCTTATCCCAATTTTTTGTATGCCTGGCATAAATATTTGTTGGATGAGTAGATCCTAGTAGGAGTTTTCTGTGGGCCAAATATGGTTCTGAGTGCTTTCTGTGCGTTTTGCAGTTAATCATCAAGAAACAATAAGAGGTATTCTCATTGTTTTACAAATGCATGACCCAAGGCTAGGAAAGGGAAAGTGCCTTGACCAAGGTCATTCAGCCACCTATTGGTCAAGCCTGCTCTACCTGACTCCTCAACCTAAGTTCTTAACCCACCATGTTGTCATTTACTCATGTGCTCAACAGAGCATTTGAGTTCTTCCTACGTGCCAGGCACTATGCTAGGTGACAGGATACAGATGGTCTCTACCCTCCAGAATCATATGGGCTAGCTGGAGAGACAGCAAATAGACATTTATGCACACATAAGGCCGCAATTACATTGTGATGACTATGAGCGAGAAATGCAAGGCATAATGAAAGGGTGGGATGTAACCCGTCTTGGGAAGGTGGAGAGAGTGGTGAGAATGTCAGTAAAGGCTTCCCTGAAAAAGTGATATTTAAGCCAAGTCTTTAAGAATACATAGCAGTTGGCCAAGAGACCAATATTCCAGGCAAAGGGCATTGCTAGTGCAAAGGTTGTCCGGCAGGAAGGGACTTGACCAGTCATAGAAATGGAAAGGAAGCCTGTCTGGCTGGAAAGATAGGGCTGGACAGTACAGGAATGTGTAAAGTTTTTGGACTTTATTCTAATAGTCATGAGAACATAGGCACCTAACAGAGTGTAAGCTTGGAGCGGACTGTCAATAATAAATATTCTTTTAAACTAGGAATTCTAAAAGTAAACATTTTCTCCATTTATAGACCGGCAGGACAATGGAAAGAACCTTGTACTTGGGGTATGCGTTGTGGTTCAGGGCTTCACCTTGGGCTAGTCTCCTAAACCTCCAGAAGCCCTACTTAGGTAAAAACTGGGAATAATAGCAGATGGTCGTTCTACTTTAGGGAGTTGTGAGACATGAAAATCAAAATGAGGGCATTATGTGAAAGCTTTTTATAAACCCTAAAGCACTGTACAAATGAGACTTGCTGTAAGATGAACTCTAAATTGGACTCAGGGTTCCAAAACTCAGTATGGGCTGCTGGCTGTTCTAGCTCAAAGATACGCTGTACTTGGGATTTGTACTGCAGAGGCATGGACTGCTGGACATGGAAGTGATTTACTTGACTCTGAAACTCTGGAGATTTGGGGGAGGAAGAGACACAAGGGAGCGCTCTTTCTCCTCTGGTGTTTCCTGAACCCATGGTTTATTTAGAAGAGTTGTTAATAGATCTGAAAAAAAAGACCTCTGGAAGAATATGTTCAGGTGAGGCGGCAGCCCTTGTTAGTTGTAATAGTTGTCATTTGGGGAAATGCAGTTATCTGTGATAAGGACGTTTGGTGGGGCAGAAAGGGACTCCCACCTTGCTGAGTTTGACCAGAGGGGACGACCTCAGAGAGCTCTTGGGAAGGCAATAAACTGATAGGAGGGACAATGATTTGCTCAGTACTGGGGCAAACTGGAGACCCTGGGCTTAAAGTAGCCCAGTCTTTGCTACTAGGGTTTATGCAGTAAGACTTCCAGCTCAGTGCATTTTAAGTAACCAGGGAAACAGAAACCCAGACCAAACATGCCCACTGCTTCTCAGATTAGGCTTTGTGTAGTCACAGGATAAGCCATGATGGGTCTTTCTCAAGCTTCAAATATATTTGAACACTTGGGGGAGTAGGGAGGTTTTATTGTGAAAACATATAGGGATAATGACAGTTTATGAATTTTAAGGTAAATATGATAAAACTACTTCAGGCTTTGCCCTTAGAATTCTCCTTTTTTCAAACACATACCCGCTCTCAACCCCACATACCTGTTGCTCTTTGCCATTGAGAAGCAGGACTCTGTGTGATAAGGATTATATTGTTGCCTACATTTGATCTTGCTCCGTGTCAGAGTTAGGGGGTGAACAGATTTCTTTCCCATTCCCAGCAGGTATCCTGTATAAGAGTTGTTGGTTAAGAGTTGTTTTGTTTCTTGCAGGGGTCTCCTTATGTCAGGGACCAGGTTACCCTGACAGCAGGAAGATTGTGTAAGTATCACTGGGGAGCACAGATGTGTGGCCATGGGGTATTTAAGACACCAGTTCTAAATTTGACCACCTGCTTTCTTCACTGGCTTCCAGGCCTAGATAATCAAGGTGCTTATGTTGAGTCTCTAGACCTAACCTTGATGTTGATTTATGACATGTGATGTACGTTGAGCGTCAGCCCCATGTCAGGTGCTGGCGCTGGAGTGTGCTTGTCCTCAGGTGTTTAGATTGTAATGAAAGTGAAGTTGGAACCCTCTCTTTATGGGAATAGATCTAGTAGGTTACTCTTGAGTATTCTGGTTGGATACAAGTGCAGCCGAAGGGCTGGAGGTTCACATTTCCTGTGGAGATTTAGAGCATCCTCTTGGTAGCATAGTTACTCATTTTAGAAACCGTAAAAGCAAAAGACAGTGAGTTGAGTCCTGGGACTTTGACTACTTCAGAGGGAATGCTATTATTGCATAATAGAGTTTGGAGAAAGGCCACCCGTGTGTGTTTCAGATTAACTTCTGCTTATGAGTATTGCTTAGTGCTACTTTGCATTCCAAGTATTTTCCGGTAGGTGGTAAGAGGATGCTTTCTAGTTATCTGTTAAACAGCTATAAAGCTGTGTTCTGCATAGGGAGAATCCTTAAAATGAAGGGTCACCAGATTAGTTCTTTCACTGTGCATCACAATGGGATTTTCTTTTCAATTGAGAAAATGATGCACTTAGTACTAGAAGTATGAATTTCTGAGTTAGTTTTTAGAGGGCAATTAGCATTCATTAGTCTTGAACTGTGTGTATTCTTTGATCTAGCAATTCCATTTCTAAATGAAGAACTCCTGGTATACCCAGATTTCTCTCAAAATGGCCAAAATAACAGGGGATTGCTTAAGCTGTGTCATGTTGACATGTTCACATTATGATAAGTGGGGAAACACAGGTTATAAAGTGATTCTATTTTTTTCTGTACAGTATAATCATGTTTTTTTGCTGTTTCCAAATACTCTCAAGTGAACATCTAATACTTTTGTAACTTAAAAATTATTTAGAGCAATTCAAAATGTGCTACTCATCTGCAACTTTAATGAAAATTGGAACAACCACAAATTTCGATGCAATAAATACAACAAATAAGTATTTAAAAGTAAATTTCTTTTTTTAAGATTTTATCAGAGAGCACCAGTGGGGGGAGGGGCAGAGGGAGAGGGACAAGCAGGCTCCCTGCTGAGCAGGACCCTGAGATCATGACCTGAGTCAAAGTCAAGATGCTTAACCTACTGAGCCACCCAGGTGCCCCAGTAAATTATTTGTTAAAAAAAAAAAAAGAAAAAACCCACAACATTAAACTTTGTGGGGTGAGAAAATAAGTACCCACCTTATTTTAAAAAAACTTTCATTATAAAACATTTTGGTTTTTCATGATTCAAAAGTAAAAAGAGACTTTACCCTTGTCCTGCATGCCCCCAAGTTCCTCTTCCTTGGGACAGCCAGTGCTCCAGGTTCTTGAGCGTCCTCACAGAGCAGTCTCTGCAATTGCAAATTACCCACGAGTTCTTGTCCATGACCACTTACCACATGGTTATAAACTTTATGCAGATCACTTTGTGTTCCGTGCTTTTTAAAAAATAACGTACAGGGGCGCCTGGGTGGCTCAGTTGGTTAAGCAACTGCCTTCGGCTCGGGTCATGATTCGGGAGTCCCGGGATCAAGTACCGCATCGGTCTCCCTGCTCAGCGGGGAGCCTACTTCTCCCTCTGACCCTCTCCCCTCTCATGCTGTCTGTCTCCCATTCTCTCTCTCAGATAGATAGATAGATAGATAGATAGATAGATAGATCTGTCTCCCATTCTCTCTCTCAGATAGATAGATAGGTAAATAAATAAAATCTAAAAAAAATAAAAACGTACATTTTCCCCTTGATTTTTAAATAGATCTTACAGTTATTTTGACATTACAAGAGTAAAAATACCAAACGGCAGCTTAAATCTGTTTTACTTCTGTATTATAAAGATGCTTGTTATAGAATATTCAGAATCCTGAAGTGTAGAAAGTGAAAGTCCCCATCGGTCCAGATCACTCTCCCAAAATGTGTATGGATGTAACATAACCATAGGTACTGTATGTATCTACATCTCCCACTGTCCAGAGTTAACCACTCTTAGTGGTTTTGTGCATGCAAAGTGGTATCATTCTCTAGTTTACATTATTTGAAGTTAGTGTCATACCAGAAAATACCTTGGTCTTTTGACGTTCCTCTTGAATGAGTCCAGAATGGACCAGTGTGTGGCCTCCTAGCAAGAGAACCAACTAGGAGATACAGGAGGTTTGTTTTGTTTTGTTCTTGTTAATTTGCCCCCTGCCAACCACCCCCCCATAAGATCTTTTTTTAATTCCAAGCTAATTGTCTCCTCTTGCTGCCTTATCTGATCTCAGTCTGTAATCCTGCAGACAGAAACTTCATTGTTTGTGACACAATGGCAGGTACTGCGAGGGCACCCAGTTTATTGTCCTTGAATTTCGTCCAGAAAAAAACCTAATCGGGAAGCTAATTCCTTTTGGTGGGTGTGCAAAGGACTGAGATGCTTATCTTTTTCTTCGCTGAACCAAATGAAAGTCTCTGTTTTGTGGGAGCTGGCATTTCACTGAGCACGGGGTTCTGGACTCACCCAAGGAGTTTACTACGTAGGGTATCCATGTCATCCAGCCTCTGCTGTAGACCTGCTGAGTCAGAATCTCTGGGGATGGGGCCTGGACATGAATGTTTTGAAAAAGTTCCCCCAGGGGGACACTCATGGGCACCCCTGGCTGAGAATCACTGATTTAAAGGGAAAGTGGTCCATGGTCCCTTGTCTAGACTACAATGCGCGTGGTTCACCTGCTAAAGACGTTTACTTTTCTTATGTTTTTTTTTTTCTGTAGTATTAACAACAGTAGTGTCTTCAATGTTCGCTTCTTCAGAACTACAGCTATGTGCAGTAAGTACTTTCCTTCGGTTCCCTGCCTTCTTGGGAATGGCATTTTAATGGGAAGAGCAACAACTGACAGAGTTTAATTAAAAAGGAAAAATAATGGCCTATATGTGATTTTCTTTTTTGCTTTTTTTTCCTAGAGGATGATGTGATTACAGTCAAAACCCCAGCATTTGCAGAATCTGTCACAGAGGGAGATGTCAGGTGGGAGAAAGGTAAGATTTCAGGCCCTACTTACTTAAGTTTAAATACTTTATAAAGTTGTCATCACTGACCTCCCCCTCTCCCTGCCCCAATAATCAGGTTTCTCCCTTCTCTTTACCTGAAATGTAATTTTTCCTGGCCCTGTAGGAAAGGGTCTTATAACACACCTATCAAAAACGGATTTGTGGCTACTGGGGTCCCCCCCCTTAACAGATAACCTTTGACTGTCTTTTCAGCCGTTGGAGACACTGTTGCAGAAGATGAAGTGGTTTGTGAGATCGAAACTGACAAGGTAGGCTTGTCCTGTATCAGTATAATTTTTCATGTAAAAAAACCTAATTAAAAAAAGGGGACTTAACGGTTTAAATATAATGTTTAACTTGCTCTAACCTCAGTTGTAAAAGTGTTGGAATAGCTCATTAAAAAGAAAAAGGTGTAAAATTTTAATTTTGGATTGTTCTCGGTTATATGTATTATGTACTTCGATAAAAGCTTTAGTTTTGTAGCACATGTGTGTTTGTGTGTGCATGTGCAGGAACTGTTTCTGTTTCCATTTGTTTTTTGTGTATCACTTGGAAACACATTAACTGAACATGACTTTAATGTTTCTGAGAAAGGACAAAGGGTGAATCTTGACAATAGCATTGACTCTTCATTACTCTGAGAGTGTGGCCTTGGTGTTTCTATAAGCAGAGCCTAGTATATCTGCTGCGACTGTTGTGACTCATGTTTGAGATTCTAGACAATTTTCTAATGCCGAGTAAAAATTCGGACTCTTTCTCCATCTGTCCTTGTTTTCCAGACATCTGTGCAGGTTCCATCACCAGCAAATGGCGTGATTGAAGCTCTTTTGGTACCTGATGGGGGAAAAGTAGAAGGAGGCACTCCTCTCTTCACACTCAGGAAAACTGGCGGTAAAGAAGTTCTCCTGGTTGTCAAGATCTCCAGTGGTTCCCCCTTGGAATTGGGGCGGAGCATAATGTACTAATTCCTTGATACCTCAAAGACTGTTTGGCATTCCAGCTGCTGTTAGTTGAGGGACTAAGACAGGTGATATTTATGCAGTGGGTACTTTAAATGCCAAGTTCTAAAAGAAAATGGTATTTAAAGAAACCTAAAACCTCATAATAACTCTGTTCTTTCCGCGTATATTTCTTATGCTGGACTTTTTTTTTTTTAATGTTCTGTTAATCACCATACATTACATCATTAGTTTTTGCTGTAGTGTTCCATGATTCATTGTTTGCATATAACACCCAGTGCTCCATTCAATACGTGCCCTCTTTAATACCCATCACCAGGCTAACCCATTCCCCCACTCCCTCCCCCAGTTTGTTTCTCAGAGTCCATAGTCTCTCATGGTTCGTGCTGGACCTTTTCTTAAAGATACAATAGAATGAAGAAGATTTTAAAGATAGTGATTTTTTTTTTTCTTCCTGTCCTCAGCCCTGGCGTCAGAATCAGATGGGGGCTTTAAAAATAACAAATGCAGGGCACCCTGGGGGCTCCATTGGTTACGTGACCAACTCTTGATTTCTTCTCAGGTCATGATTCCAGGGTCCTGAGATGGAGCCCTGCCCTGGGCATGGAGCCTGTTTTAAGATTCTCTCTCTTCATTAAAAAAAAAAAAAAAAAAAAAAACACCTCTCTCTTCCCATCACCCCCCCACACACGCATCTCTCTCTCAAAAAAACAAAGCAAAAAACGTGTGTGTGTGTATCTATATAAACAAACACAAATGCGTAGACCCCATGGCCCAGGGATTCTGATATATTAAATCTGGGGTTATCAGATGTGGGTTATCTATTACAGTTGTTTTTTTTTTTTTAAATGCTCTCCAAGTGATTCTGATACACAGCTAGGGCTGAGAGCCACTATTCTTTTTTAAGATCTTATTTGTTCATTTGAGAGAGAGAGAGAGAGAGTATAAGCAGGGGAAAGGGCAGAGGGAAAGGGAGAAGCAGACTTCCTGCTGAGCAGGGAGCCCAACATGGGGCTTAATCCCAGGACCTGGAGATCATGACTTGAGTCAAAGGCAAATGCTCAACTGACTGAGCCACCCAAGTATCCCAAAAGCCACTATTCTAAAGTGAGGAGAAGTAATATTTCATGGTGTCTATTCTGGAGAATTCAGTGTTGTTTTTTCACATCTGTGCTCAGAGCATTTCTAAGGAAGGTTGCTCTCTCTCTTGGGAAAAAGTGAGAAGGAAATGAATTTGTTTGGCACCTTACAGTCAATATGAGAGATTAGAAAAGAAAATAATTTTTTCTGATTCTTAGTTAAATGCTGTAATTACTAAAGTCTGTTTCTTTTTCCTTATCAAAATAGTTAAGGAGAGAGATAGTAGATTACATCCTTTAGATTGATCAGGGTACGACCAGAAGCCCAGAATGGAAGTAGTGTGCAGTAGAAGGCTAGGGAATAAGATCAGGGTTTTTTTCCTTAATTTTTTATTGTTATGTTAATCACCATGCATTACATCATTAGTTTTTGATGTAGCGTTCCATGATTCATTGTTTGTGCATAACACCCAGTGCTCCATGCAGAACGTGCCCTCTTTAATACCCATCACCAGGCTAACCCATCCTCCCATCCGGGGATAAGATCAATTCTTTCACCTTCTGATCATTCCTTAAAAAGAATGTTCTTCTAATTTAAATATGAAATGTGAAACCAGGTATGTACAGATGGATAAAATCAAAGTATCTAAAGTTGTGGTTTAAGAGCATTATGCTAGATGAAATGCTTCGAACTCTTTAAGTCTGAGTGAGCCTTTGATTATTTAAACTTTTATTTTTTTATAGTTAAAAGAGTATTAGGGGCTCCTGGGTGGCTCAGTTGGTTTAGCGTCTGCCTTCAGTTCGGGTCATGATCCCGGGGTCCTGGGATCAAGCCCCGCCTTGGGCTCACTGCTCAGAGGGAGGCCTGCTTCTCCCTTTCCACTCCCCCTGCTTGTGTTCCCTCTCTCGCTGTCAAATAAGTAAAATCTTTAAAAAAGAAAAAAAAGTATCCTTCCACACATGATTTTAAAATAGAAGACAAGACTGTCCATACTCCCATGACCAGAAGTGTGTTACTTTCATATATGTGTATCAACATCTTCAATTGCCTGCGTTTCTTCTGCTTGGAAGTTTACATTGCCATGGGCTTAGTGGGTGCTTTTAAAGTACTTGCTAAATTTGATCTTGAGTTGGTATTTGTGAAATCAGGAAGGCAGCTGAATGAGGTCAGTTGTGTAACGTAGGACGTCTGGGAGCCCCGGGGAATGGAAGGACCGCGCCTTCCATCCTTGTGTGCGTTTCGTAGTGCCTTGTGTATAGCCAGTTAGCATTTGGCAGGTGATTGGAGATAGAGCTTTTGCTGCTACACCTTGTTTAGTATCTGTGATTCGGTTGCTTTGCATTCCAGACGGTGCCAGTGACCTCTGCTTGTCGTGTTTTCCAGCTGCCCCTGCGAAGGCCAAGCCAGCCGAAGCTCCTGCTGCTGCAGCCCCGAAAGCAGAGCCTCCAGCCCCAGCAGTTCCTCCTCCCGCCGTGGCATCCATACCCACTCAGATGCCTCCAGTGCCCTCGCCCTCACAGCCTCTTGTTAGCAAGCCAGGTACGCCTCCCCCTCCTGCGTGTCTCTGTGTGGGAGAACATCCCCTCCAATGCCATGTTCCCTCGCAGGGCACAATCTTAGACCAGTCAGGGCTCCGAACAGGCTCCAGTGGCTGCTTTGTAGAAGGAACTCTAGACTTTGTATCAGAAGACCTGGGTTGGAGCCCAGCTTTCTGTTTACAGCTCTGTGCCTTTGGGCTAGCTCCTTAACGTCTCTGAGCACATCTTCATTTGTGAAGTGGGAATGGTACTAGTCCCCCTCAGGGTATCCGAAGGATTAAGTGACAGGACAGCCTGACAGCACTGGCACTTAGTAATTGTTTCTCTGGTTGGTTGGGGTTTGTTTTTTTGGGGGGGGGGCTGCAGAAAGGTGGTTTTATGAAAGCACGGGGATGGGACGCATGGGCCAAAAGAGCTGCTGTCTCTCTGATTTTCTGATGCAGCTGTACCTTCTGTTCATTGTCAGTGTCTGCAGTGAAACCCACTCCTGCCCCGCCAGTAGCTGAGCCAGGAGCCGGCAAGGGTCTGCGTTCAGAACATCGGGTAAGCCTCTGGGGAGCACTGCCAGTAGGAGGCCGAGGGGATAGGGTTGAGATGAGGGGGCGTGGGCATTGTGGTGCCTACCTGTGAATTGCTGGCAGTCCATGGCAACCAAGGTTAGGAAGCAGCTTGTCATAGCCTCCTACTTGTCATCTGAGAGGACTAGAACCTGAAGTCTTTGGAGCACCTGCCCAGTGGCTCTTCCCACGGTGCTGTGCTACCGCCGGCCCGCCTTGGCTGAGTGAGAGGTCTGCAGGGGGCGGGAGCTTAGGAGTGTGCGCTCCCCCTCACAGGACCACACACTGGAGAAGTGGTTTTACTGAGCCCTGTTCCTGTCCTCCTGGCACACTTCACTGAGGGCTCCGTGGTAGCAGTCACTGGCAGGGGCAACTGTAAAACCTCAAGGAAGTATATGGTCAAGAGTGTGGGCTCCTCTGCCTGAGAAGACCTCCTAAAAATACTAGAGAGCCTGGAGCGCTTGTTTTACTTAGGTATCCTAGTCCGTGACACCTCGGTCCTTGCAAGCTGAGTGCCCCCTTGGACTGAATTCCCCGGGGAGGGCTTGATCCGGAGAGCCCAGACTGTTCATCCTTGTCCTACTTTCAGGAGAAAATGAACAGGATGCGGCAGCGCATCGCCCAGCGTCTGAAGGAGGCCCAGAACACGTGTGCGATGCTCACTACTTTCAATGAGATCGACATGAGGTGAGATCTCTGGGCCTCTGACTCCCCGCGCCCTTTTTTTTGGAGAACACTTGAACTTGCCCCAGCCCCTACGTAGTGCTGATTCCAAAACGAACAGCAAGAAGAGGTACTTCTTTGCACTGCCTGTTGACTAAAACAGAGTGACCCATGGGGTTCGTTCTCTAATTGCCTGCCTCTGTGACGTAAAAAACTTTTAGCCTTTTATACCTGAATTTTGTGATGTCTGATCAATGAGGCTGGTAATGGTGTTAAATTCCGATGGCTAGTGTCGAGTTGCCAAGTAGAGCCGGGGCAACAGGGCCTGCCCTTGGGATGGAGAACCGTTTGACCGCACACTCAGAGTCAAAGCCCAGCACCCTGCTGCTTTCTCACAGCGACTGCTCCTGATTTGTGTTCTGAAGTGGCTCAGATTTGGGTGGTGGGAAAGCACCAGCTTGTCCTAGCTTTCGCCTTTCCCAGCTGTGATAATGAAAGGGAAAGCAAGGTGTGTTTTTCAGTAAAAACCTCAGGATGTATAACCAAAGGGACAAATTTAGTGCACCAATTTCTAGGGTGAGCTGGCTGTTGATTGGGTGGCTCATTCGGTTGAATTTCGACTCAGGTCAGGATCTCTGGGGTCGGCCTGTGTCGGGCTCAGCGGGGAGTCAGCTTGGGATTCTTTCTCTCCCTCTCCGCCTCCCCCAACCCCCTGTGTACCTCTCTCTCTAAAATAAATAAATCTTTTAAAAATCACAAAGTAAAATCTAGAAAAAGAAGTATCAGTGGGTAAAAGTATGAAGTAGAGAGAATGAGATCATTTGTTTTTGAGATGGAGAGCAGAAGTGGGGAGGGGAAGTTCCCCCCGGTGCTTCCTGGAGAAAAGAGATTTTTAATAGGCCTAAGATTGACTAGCATTTTGACACAGGTAGCATTGCGGGGAAGGGTCAGTCCAGACGATGTAAATAATAACGGCGCTGACACAGGCAAGTACAGGATACTTTTGAGAACTATCTGCTGTGAGGAATATGTGGGAAAGAATGGGAAGAAAGTGGGATCCATACTTTTAGAATGTTTTGAATGCCAGGGATAAGAGTTTATATCTAATTCGGGAGGTAAATCATGAAGTCTTCAGGTCATCCCTTTGCCTCTTTTTCTTCTAAGTGCTTAGTCTGCTAGCCTACTTTTCATTAGGGAAATTTGTTTTCTTAAGGAAGGGATCTGAAAAGCGTAGAGAAGGGAGGGGCTTATGGATAGTATGCTGTGGCGTTGTTCACAGAAGTAGGGCTCTGTGGCCTGTTTCACTAGATGTCATCCATGCTGTTGTGAAACTTCCTAAAAAGACGGGATGTCATTCAAGCCAAAGATTTCTCTCCTTCCTATCTGTAGGACATAGGGAAGGACCTTGACTAATGAATCACAAAGGCCGCAGCTTATGTTTCAGTGCATTAGGGCCAAATTGTACACAAATTGAATTGGACTTTGAAATTCTACCTAATTCCTTAAGACAAAACATGTAAATATTTGTGGCCTTGGAAGATGCAGTTGGCCCAACAGCTTTGATTGGAAGGTAAGTGCAGTAGCTGGATCTCATTTCAGCAGCTAATCGAGGTGTCACTTAACGATGGCCTGGGGTCTCACTACAGTCGGTAATGTGGTTTAGATCGAGTGCCCTTGGGTCTTGTGCTGATCAGCTACCCATAAGGGGCCTTTCTTAGACCTTCTCCTCTGCCCTGCTGTCCCAGGCCCTGCCTCCAAGGGCAGAGCTCTGAAATAGAAACTACTTAATGACCAGACAATAGCATTTGGGCAGGTTTGAAAGCAGAGATGTTTATCACATCTCTTTCCCTCTTCTGCAGTTCTTGTGTCTTGGGAACCAGTAATGTCTTTAGGGTGGTAATCCTAGCACTAAATAAGGTTAGACTCAGGAAAACAAACATTTAAACCTAATCAGTCCCCCGCCCACCCCCCCCCACCCCCGGAAAACTTCCTTTTTCAAAGGCAAATGGTCTGAAGGGGGAGTTAAAGTTATACCATCTTCTCTTTCATGCTAATGTCAAATTAGGCCATTATGGGGAGAAAGGGAAAACTGGAGCATTTGGGCCTGAGATAAAGTTATATTCAGTTTCCATCACAGAACTGTATTCCGATAAATACTGAGGTTTCTGTAGCAAAATGATGGGAAAGCCATTTCCCACTAACTGCAGTATATATGTGGTACATCTGTGGAAAACCAATCCTAAATGAACAAAGGCTGTTTATGTCGCAAAGGCTTCCCAGAAGGCCCAGCTGCTTGTACTCGAAAAGCTTAGGGCCACACATGTCCACTTTCTAAATACCAAGGAAACCACATCCAGTAAACTGATAGAAAGGGTAAGGGCTGTGTCTTTATTATCTTGACGCCCAGCCTTGGCCCTTACATGTATGTGGTGGGGGTTTAGCACCTGTTTGAAGGAGCAAGTATATGGAATTGCTAACTCTGTGGAGATAGGAGGGAGTTTATTGACTTTCCCATGAGCCTAAAAGAACACTGGTCTATACCTGACCATATATAGTCATGGGTGCTTTTGCTCACGTGGAGCCCAAACACCTGTGGAGTTTTTTCAGGTTTTGTTTTCATTAAGTGGAAGATAGGAAGAATGTCAAAAGGAAGTTCTAATCAAGTTTGGTGGATTTTTTTGGACATAATTCTAACAAGAAATTTAAAAAAAATACTGTTTATCTTGTAGACTTTGTTTATGCTTAAAATAATTATTCAGAGTAGAGAGCTCATGAGTTTCGGGTAGCTAGAAATCACTTTCTCATCCAGGCAAGGATGTTAGTATGCTGTGTGAGCTCTTGTTCATATTATCTGTCACTGAATTCTATGACTTCTGGAATAGAAAGGAGCCCTATAAGGGGCTCAGCCATACCGTCAGGACTGATTGGACCCAATTTCTTTGATTCCAGGTTTTGTAAAGAAGCGAGGTTATTGTATTGACCTCCGCTGGACTATTTCAAAACTTGAACTTGGGTAGATGGTCCAGAGGAAGGGAAAAATGCTTACCCAATTGTGTACATGGAGTTAGAAACTGGTATGAAAGGTAAAATAAGGGCTTTGTGGTCACTTTGTTTTATAATGTGTTTTTATAGTAACATCCAAGAGATGAGGGCTCGGCACAAAGATGCTTTTCTGAAGAAACATAACCTCAAACTAGGTTTCATGTCGGCATTCGTGAAGGCCTCAGCCTTTGCCTTGCAGGAGCAGCCTGTGGTCAATGCAGGTGAGTTTGTGGTGGCCGGACTCGAAGAGGTCCTAGGAGGTATGTGTGCTCCCACACACAGACCAAGGCTTTATTTCATACCTGTGAAAACATGAGTGTCTTTCTCTAGGTATTTCTTGAATCACCTTCCTGAAGTGGTGTCATGGCTGTTTTCTCCCCACTAGCTGGACAGAGTGGTTTCTCTTCCCATTTCATAGCTTGGCAGCTGCTCTGCCAACAAACACTTCTGAGCCAGCCCAGCTCTCGGGGCTTCTCATGTCCATGTGGAAGCTCGTGTTCTGTCTAGCACTTGCCTTTCCAGGGGCCCCGGGATCTTGGGGCCTGACTTCCCACTTGGCATAGGCTCCAGGGTGACCTTTGATTTCTGGTCGATGGACCTCAGTGGGAGGCCCTGGGCTTGGCCCCTCTTTCATGGACTTGATGCTCGTTTTCCTTACTTTTTGCTCACCTACGTTATTGAAATGTTGACCTAACAAGCAGTTCTCTTTCCTATTGAGACACTTCTCTGTTCCCTGGAAGGTTGGGGGGGTGGACAGTGACACTTTTGCAATTCTGAGCAATGCCAGGGTCCCTAAAGATCTAGAAATAGAAGCTCTAGTCCCTTGCATTGAGTGATGTGCTCTAGGTAGGTAGAGGGCTGTCTTTGCTTTGTCCAGATGTGTATGTACCTCTTGTTCCTTCCATTCTTCTCATGCTTCCTCATTGGCTCTCCATCCCTTTCTTCTGCCTGCCTGTATATGTAGGCATTTCTCAGAGTTCTTTTGGCCTCTTTATCACTTCCCACATGCTTTGCCTTGGTGGCTTATCTAACAACACAACATAGACTTTCTGTGGAAAAGAGTACCGAGCCTGTATTTTCTCATGAGCACCAGACCTAGACTTTCAGCTGCCGGTTTGCTGGCTTACACTACCCTGCTGCCTCTGGAGTCTCCGAGAACGAGGCCTCCCTCACCTCCTGCGGAGAGTAGGCAGCGGAATGGGCAGCACTACCACCCCTCCCTTTGCATCTGCCTTTTTGGGAGCACTTTTTAAACCTAGCCATTCTCTGTTAAGGGAGGGTTTGGGCAGAGCTAGTTAAAGGGAGCTCCGTGCATACCTATCCTGTGTGAGCCGGTGTACTGAGTCTTCCTTTGAAAAACGGGTGCTCCCGTGCTCGGCCTCAGGGCACTTGGGAAATGTTAGGATTGGTTGGGAGTAAGAGGAGTCCGCCCCAGGCAGTGCAATGGTTTTCCTGCTGACTGGTCAGCCCACTGTACCAGGCATGGTGGATTTTCACTGTTAACGCAAGTATTTCTGCATTAGCCTAGGCTTGGACAGTTGTGTGTAACATGTGTTTTCTCTCACAGTGATTGATGACACAACCAAAGAGGTGGTGTATAGGGATTATATTGACATCAGTGTCGCCGTGGCCACCCCACGGGTATGTTGGGGAAAGCGGTGGGGAGCTCTGGTCTTAGACTCTCACTTTGTATAAAAAAGCAGACCCCTGGGGAGAGAGCATTTCTGTAATCCTGTCGTAGAAGGGAGTTAGTAAAAGAGTAATCTGCTTTTGACCCCACCACATTCTTTTAATGTTAAGCCTAAATATTTTAGACTCTGTTAATCACATTGAGTCATTAAGATGCTCAATGGGGAGCAGAGACCACCCACTTGAATCAAGGGATTATAAAGGGTACTATTAATCTGCAACTGAAAACAGCTTTTCACTCTCATCAGGGTCTGGTGGTTCCTGTTATCAGGAACGTGGAAGCTATGAATTATGCAGATATAGAGCGAACCATCAGCGAACTGGGAGAAAAGGTAAAGTGGAAAGCAGCATGTGTGTTGGTTGCTGGGCAGGTCAGGGAGGAGGGGCCGGGGAAGGCTGGGCTCACTGGTGGGCAGTGATCAGGGAACTGGTGCCTTGCTCTGCTGGGTAAGGTGTGTGGAGCTCGAGACTGGCAGTCACCCCCAGGAGCCGAACTCTAGCTATCTGGCAGCGCTCATTGTGCTCTTGTCACGGAAGACCTCGTCAGAGGAGGCCTGCTGGGGAAAGCAAAGGTCCTCAAGGCATCGTGCCTGTCCTCTGGTGGAGGCCTGGCCACAGGCGTCTTCTGCTGAACAACAGCTAGAAGTTGGACTGTTGATCTCAGACAGGAGCCTTCTGGACTCCCTGTAGGTGAAGAAAGCTGGGTTGTCCTTATATTGCAGTGATTAAATCTCCATTCTTAGGCCCGAAAGAATGAACTTGCCATTGAAGATATGGATGGTGGTACTTTCACCATTAGCAACGGAGGTGTTTTCGGCTCACTCTTTGGAACGCCCATCATCAACCCCCCTCAGTCGGCCATTCTGGGCATGCACGGCATCTTTGATAGGCCAGTGGCTGTGGGGGGCAAGGTAGGAACCATCACTGCAAATGTCCTAGCGGCTAGATGAAGAGGAGGGGGAAAGCTAGCTATTAATTATGACAGATGCACTGGAATTTCAGGCATAAGTTCCATCTCTTAGTTTCTAATTAATAGCTAAGGCACTGATCTTCAAATTGTGGTGTGTGGTTTGGCATCATTTGGGGACTTCTTAGAAATGCAGACTCTTAGACCCCTTTCCAGACCTGATGAAGCAGAAGCTGCAGGTGATTCTGATACAACTTAAGTGTGAGGACCATGGAGTTGAGGTGGTTTCCTCCTTCATCTGGAGAGGTCATCAAGCTCCATTCTCTAGGTGCCGTCCAGAGTGGGGACACAGTTGGAAACGTGGTCCTTGCCCCGGGGAAACAGGACAGCAATGAAGATCTATGAGCTCCCAGGTTGTATGAAGGTTTAGCGGTTCCCTGGGAGTTCAGGGAATAAAGTTAAAGGGTCTTGAGCTGGCCCTAGAAGATATGTTGGTAGGAAAATATTTTCTGGGACTCCTGTGTTTAGAACGTTTTTGGGTCACTAGGTCTTGTGAATCCAAAAATCCTAGGTCTTCTCTCTTGAAAATGCTCACACACCTAACTTGGCATTCCACTTGAGAGAATTTGAGGATCTCTGGTTACTTTTTAAAATTCTAACCCTAAAGAAGAAACTTCAGGCTGCCAGGATTGAAGGGAAAAGTTTTCCTTTAGAAAGGGCAGAGAATGTGTTTTGTTTTGTTTTTTTTAAAGATTTATTTGAGAGCGCGTATACGCAAGTGTGTTCCCAAGCTGGGGCGGGGAGCGGGGGGTGTCCACTGAGAGCTGAGCCTGATGCTATGGAGCTTGATCCCAGGACCCTGAGATCATGACCTGAGACAAAATCAAGAGTTGGAAGCTTAACCAACTCAGCACCCAGGTGCCCAAGAATGTTTTTTTAAAAGGCACTTTTGGAAGAGACTCTTTATTTTCTTGGTTGAGCTTTCTTGAGTGGGAGAGCTTTGCACTAAGGGTAAGCCTTGGTCTTTGAAAATAGAAGGCTCCAGAAGCAACATCAATAGGAAAAGCTCTGGAACTGGAAACTTTTCTATGGGCTATGCTTTCTCATCTCCCCACTTCTAGTGGGGCTTCCTCTGCTGCAGACAGACCTGTCAACCTCTCCTCTCTGTAGGTGGAGGTGCGGCCCATGATGTACGTGGCACTGACCTATGATCATCGGCTGATCGACGGCAGAGAGGCGGTAACTTTTCTCCGCAAAATCAAGGCAGCGGTAGAGGATCCCAGAGTCCTCCTACTGGACCTTTAGGAGGAAGCCACATACCCTACACACCAACCATGCAGGAACTGACCACCAATCTTCTCCCTGTCCCCTCATGGGTTCCAGGCTAGCCTGGTGCCAGGCACATGTTGTTGGCCCCCAGCAAGGAAACCAGGGCACTACGTAACCAGCAGCCACAGTTCATTTCTTGGTATTCTGCCAGGCTCTCCCCTCTCTGCACCCTTCTCATACACTCGAACATCTTCTTGAGGCTTGAGGGAGAGAGCGCCTTAGTGGATGCTCATTAATATTCCTGCCTCTCTCCCATTCGTCTTTTGCAGAGATGATTTTGCTTCTCTCCTGGGCCAGTATTCAATAGGGAAACCACTGGGGACCATGTGATCAAGTTTGTATCTTTTGAAAGTCTATTCTCCAGAGCCTCCTTAGGAGGGCGTGGTGTCTCCCAGGCTCACAGCAGCCTCTGGCCCGGCTGTGCACATTCTCACTTGATTGCACCTGTATGGAGGTATTGACTGCAGGCCAAGAGGTGCTGCTTGCCGCGTAAATAACAGTTCATTCTGCGCTGCCATGGACTTCAGGATGCCTCTTCTACCTCGTCCAGGAAGCACAGGCCAGGGGGTCTGGGGGGGAGGGGGGAGGTAGTTGGGGGGGGCAGAGTCCCCTCCGAGGTGGTATGTTTTAGACAAGACAGGAGCAGAGCCCACCCTCTCCGTCACGGCTCCATTTTGGCACAGTAACACACAGCCGTGGTCGTGCCAACCTTTCTGGGCTGCTTGGAACCATTCTAGCACATCGCTGTCGTTTAGAGCAGATTCTAGCACGTCATGGCAGCGGGACAGGGCATGGTCACAAGGGCTGGAGGCTGGTGAGATTGGGGTGAGGGGGCTTCCTGTGGACTGGCTCAGATTGATTTGAGCTTTTTACATGCCATTGGCGTAAGCACTCGGACTGAAGGGGCAGCTCTGTTTCTCTGTGCATCGTGGCCCTTGAGGGAGCGGGGTGTCAGGGAGGATGGACCCTGGTGGAAACCAGCCCCAAGATGCTACTATACAGCGGGGATGATGGGCAGCGTCGCCTGAGGTGGTGTTGCCAGATGGGTCTGGGCACAATCATTGGAATTGCTTGGAGCAAGTTTAAATACACACATCTTGTCGTGAAAGCTGCTGGGCTTCATTGCTTTGTATGCAACTGCATCCAGGCCTGAGGCTGCTGACACTGGACACCAGGAGCCGCTGACTTAGTGCCGTGCCCGTTGGGATCTGGAGCTCCTTGGGATCTGGAGCTGGAGCGGAGAAGCAAGGCCTGGGGGGGCGGGGGGGAAGGGTTGGGAGCCGATACTGAGTGCCTGCAGCATCTACTCTGTCTTCGCTATTCAGAACTTGTACCTGAAATATTTAAAGAAACTGATTTTAAATGCAAATTAAAGGGCAAATGTTCTCAAAAGGTTCCTGCTTCTGCGGTCCTTTTAGTTCCCACGGTGCACAGCCCCAGCACTGTGACTGTCCCGGGAGTTGGCCTGTGAGATGCCCGATCTGAAGTTACCACTGTACTGGTTTGACAGCAGGTGGCACCCTAACCATCGCGTGCCGGGAACGTGCCGGCTTCCTTCCGGTGAGCCCCTCCAGCCTGACAGGCCACGCGCTTGGGGAGCCTTCGCGATGGCTTCAAAGAGGGACCCAAACGCCACCAGACGGGCGTTTCTGGGGGGCTTGGAGGAGGTGGGCGCCACTCAGACAATTTCGCATTTTGGACTTGGTTGCCACGTGTACGCAAGGGGGCCCGAGGTCCGTGAGCACTGATGAGGGTAGATCACCCCCTGGGAGCAGGGGTCGGGGAGGGAGGCAGGCAGGGAGCTAACCTAGACTGTGGGCGACAGGCATATGGCTTCTGGGCTTAAACACCACCCCCACCTGTTGGGCCTGCAGGGATGCCGTGTCTGGGTGCAGGTCTGTCACAGGAACGAAGTGGCTCCAGAGGGCAGAACTTAGAGCTAATGGGGGGGGGGGTGGCGGGGAGGACGGGTTCAAGGAAAGGCAGAACCTCAGCCTGCCCTGGGCTTGGTGCTAGAAGCTCTCTCTAGGAAACCTCCAGTGGAGGGATTACTAGCCCCATAAGGGCTGGGACACCGGTATTCACGGCCCAGCAGAGGGGCAGATGCACAGGTGTTTGTGGCACAGATGAGGCCCGGAAGTTCAGAAGCAGCTCCGCCTGCGTGTGGCAGTGGTTGGGAGCAGTCGGCCTGACTTAGCAAAAGGACAGACTTGCGGACAGGCTCCACCGGGCCCTAGCATTAGGGTCTTTAATGCGAGCCACCATCCATCTCCGGGGTCACTGTGAGGATTATTAGACTAGTGTCCTGTCTACCCCCTCCCCGCCCCGATACCATGACCCTCCTCTAGGACTTCTCTCTTTCCCACAGATCCCAGGGCCCCCTACATGCCGTCCTTTCCTCTCAGCTTCTCTGCGGGGCACAGGCTGACATGCCTTTCACTACCAGCCCTGCTTCCTACCTTCTTAGGGGACTCCAAGCTCACTCTTGAGTAGCGTGGGGCATCTCGGGGGGAGTCTTCCAATCTCTCCCTTCTGGCAGGGCTGCTCTGGTTGCATTCAGGAGGCAAGGACACCACAGGTAATGGCAGGCTTTATTGGGGAGTAGGGGGTATGGGCAAGGCCCAGGGAAAGCAGGCGCAGGCTGTGTTCCCCCCGTGTGCCCTCTGCAGGACTGGTCTCTACCCATAGAGTTAGAGTTGGACCTTCACAGCCAGACTGGAGAAGTGTCGGAGGCGCCCCCTGGTGGTGGTGGAGACACTGGAAGGAAGGAGTTGGGGGCAGAGGTCTGGTGGAAATTTCCTTCTTAGGTGCCACACCCCAGTGACAGGATAAGCCCCGAGGGGAATCAGAGGACCCCCAAACCTGGGGAGGGGATTGTCTTTGGGGTAACTACTTACCCCAGCTCTTCAGGGACCAGAAACATTTTGCTTCTGGCTAAAAGCTTAGGCAATCATTCCAAGTGTTTTGTGAAGTCACAGTGGGCGGTGAATTGAATGGCCCCTCAAGACTAAAATGCAAAATGGTAAATAGGACAAATGCCTGAGAAGGGATTGTAATGGGTACAAAGTGTGGTAGTTGCTCCAGCCTGGGGGCCCAGGGGGTAGACTCCCCTTCCCATACCCGTGGGCTAGCTGGGGAAGAGAGCTCTTTATTCTGTTTTCAGAATGACTCTAAGTGCCAGAGCTGTGCCTTCCTCTCCCCTGATGCTTATCCTTATTTCTCTCTCCTGCTTGCCTTTTGTTCTCCAGTCTGAAGTCATAAGACAGGGCACGGTCAGGTTGGGGAGTGGATCATCCTGTCCCCCACCCTCCAACCCCGTGTAGGAATAGCCTGGGAGGGGGAAGAGGCCGAGTTGCACGGCTAAGATGAGCAGGCAGGGCAGGCAGGGCAGCCCTGGTTTGGGTCCACTGGGCCAGTGGACCAGTATCCTGAGATGAGTCTCCAGAGATGTCCCCAGTGGGGCACATGGCCGCTCATGAGTCACGAAACCTTGCCGTCCACTCAGCAGGCGGGCAGGAGCTCAGAGCTCATGCTGCGGAAGGCACCCTGTGGCCTGGCAGGTCTGCGGTCAAGGTACAGGGAGCTGTTGACTGACGGTTGGAGGATGGATGGGCGGAGGGGTCCGAGCTTCCCAGCCGGGTGGGATCTACCCCTCAGCAGAGACCAGAAAGGGTCTCCAGAGCTGGTTGGGGAATGCCCAACCCCTTCTGGGCAGTAGCGATGGTTACGATGGTGCCCAAGAGTGGCGCTGAGCAACTGCCACCTTTGCCTGAGGGTCACTGATTAGGCGGGCCAGCTCTGGGCGGCAGAGGGGAGAGAAGATCCAGACTAGTCCAGCAGCTTCCATGACCCACTCTGCCCCCTCTTACCCCCCCAGTTTGCTCCACTGGGTAGTACTGAAAAAGGGGTGGGCCTTGAGCTTGTTGACTCCGCCGCCTCCAGCACCCAGGCGCCGGGCAGGATCAAACTGCAGCAGCTGGGGGAAAAGCCCGGGGGGTTGGCAGGCCTGCCCGGCCCCCACTCCCCAGCCTCCCGGCCCTCGGAACTCCCAGTAGTACCTGGGGGACAGGTGGTGTTCAGCCCCCAGCATACACAGATTTGTTCCCATTACAGACGTCCAGCCTGTGGGGCTATGTTGACGCCAGAGCTCTGCCCTCCCAGCACCCACCTCGCGCCAAGCAGCGGCCGCCTCTGGACCAGCCGTAGCTCACCTCAGTCAGCAGGGAGGCCGCTGGGCGACTGAGCCACTCGGGCAGCTGGAGCCGGGTGTGGGGCTGGATTCCCGAGGGGTGGCTCTGCGACAGGGCCTGGGAAGACACGGAGGGGGGCAACCCCGCAGTGTGCGCCTGCTCCCGTGGCAGCCGGGATTTACCTTCCCCCGTGTCACGTCCCGTGGGGATGAGGACGACGGTTGTCTTTCGCTTTGAAGCTACTGCATGCCAGGAAGATGCCTGACGCCTTATCCGTAATTTCCACGACCACCCTCAAAGTAAGTTCTGGCATCTTCATTTTAAAGGCAAGAGGCAGGCTCGGGAGGTAAAGGGACTTTTATGCTGAGTTCAGGGTTGGAACCCAGGTCCGTCTGGCTCCAGGCCTGCCAGGAGCATCGACCAGGGCAGGCACCCCGGCGGGAGCAGCACTGGAGCGCAGCGGGGACTTCTGGGGCTCGGGCGGAGCGACAAGACGCGACCCGGTGGGAGGCCGAGGGCTAGAGAAGTGGTGGGAGGCCGAGAGGAGAGAACCCCGCTCTGGGGGCTGTCGGGGGCTAACAAGAGGGGCCAGGACAGACGTCCGGCGCCACTTCATCCGCTCCTGTCCTCTCCTGCTCGACTGTAGTCTGGCCTCGCCCTCGCTGCCTGGCCTCACCAGCCCCACGTGTGATGCTGAGCTCAGGGAGGGGCACAGAGGGCAGAGGCCGCTGTCCTTCAGCCAAAACCGGAGCTTACAGCCCCGACGGGGCCGGGGGGGAGGGGCGGGGAAGGGGCGGTGGGGAGCAGCGGCTGGGGGGGATGAGTCAGTGGCCTTCCAGGGAAGAAGGGTTGTGTCAAATTCCACCCTCCCTCCAGACCACGCAGGGTTTCTCCTCCGGAACCCTTCCCTGACTAGCCCAGCTCAACTCCTTCACCTAAGTTGCAGTCTCGCTCGCTATAGCCACTAGTGGGGCGGGGCTGCTGGGCGTGTCCATGCCCTGGGTGGGAGGGGCTTCCCAAGGCCTCATGGCCTGCGGGGGCAGCTGCGGGGGAGGGAACGGCCAGGTCTTGGAGAACCAGGTAGCCTCAGCCCCAACCCTGGCTGGTTGGACTAAGCCGAGCCTATCCTACCCTCAGTGACACCCAGCAGGGCTCCCCACCCTGCCCCGCTACTCACGGTTCCGGTCAGCATTTCATACAGCAGAGACCCAAAGCTCCACCAGTCACAGGCTTCCGTCAGCTCAGAAATCCCACCCACCTCTGGGGGAATAAGACCACACATGTCCCAGCCTCACCCCAGAGGCCTGGTCTCCACTCTACCCCTCTGACCCAGACACGGCCCCTTCCCACTGTCACTCTTAGCCCACGGCTCAACCCACAGCGGCACCCAAGATCTCAGGCCCCCTGGCCCCTCCTCCGCTCTTGCCTGGGGCACTGTAGAGATTGTCCAAGGCCTCCCTGCAGTAGTGGGGCTCCACCTCTGCCCACTGGCCGAAATACGTGAGCCGGATGTGACCTTCTCCGCCAGTGTGTGCAGGGAGGGAAAAGGGTGGACAAAACTTGTGGTTAGTAGTCCTGGAGGAGGTGGGAGGGGACTCCAGGGCTTCCCCCAACAGGCACTGGGCAGAAACAACCAGGTTTTCCTAGGAGCTGCTGCCTTGGACTCAGGCTCAGGCTCAACCTTGGCCAACCAGACTCGGCAGAGTCCCGAGTGAAGAGGCCAGGGGGAGAGGCAGGGGGCAGCAGATAACCTCAGAGGTCCCCTGAACTTTGGAGACCTCTCCTTCGCTGGCTGGAGGCTTTGGGGACCCCATGTGAGAGGTGGGGTGGGGTGAGGACAGCCTAATCCCCCCTCCTCCCGGGCCCCGGGCACCTACCTGCCTGGTCCAAGAGCAGGTTGCGGGGATTGAGGTCTCGGCACAGCACCCCCTGCTGGTGCAGCGCCTCCAGGGCGAGCAGGGTCTCAGCCGCCCACTGCTTCACCTGCTCTTCCTTCACCGTCCAGGCGCCCCGGCCAGACCCTGGTCGGGCCCTAGCTGCTACGGGGTGGCTCGGACTTCTGCCTCGGCCACAGGCCCCCAGCACCCGGACAGCCCCCTGATGAACCCAAGGGAGCCCCCAAGAGGGCCTCACGTCCAAGCTCTGGCCAGGTCGCCGCCTGGCTTGGAGGTGCAGGCGGCCACCTGGGGACTTAAGAAGGTCCAAGGAGCAGGAAGCATGGGTCCTGGCGGAGGGGTCACCTTCAGCCTCTCTCTGGGGAGTGATGGGTGGGGCCTCCCTGGCTGGGGGAAGGCTCTGAGAAGTCCGTGGAAGCTCCCGAAGGATTCTGTCTGGCAGGCAGGTGGGTCCCAGGGGGAGCAGTGCTGGGGTCTGGAGGCCGAGGGGTGAGTTGAGCGGAGCCTTCATCCTCTCCGGGCTGGAGCCAGACCTGCCCCCAGACTGTTGGGGCTGCTCCTGGGAGAGCAGGTGGGACCAGAGCGTGCCCCCTGGGCCATGCAGAGGCGCAGTGAGCATGGGGACAGGGGAGAAGAAGAGTGTGGACACCACGTCCCCAACTCTTGCCTCCCCTCCACCCGGCATGAGCCCCCTCTCTTCCACATCTCACCTGTGCCCCCTCCCTCCTCAGCCCGGAATGCCCTCTGCTCTCCCTTTGACCCACCCAGAGGGGACCCGGCCTCGCAAGCTGGCGCAAAAAGGTGCTTAACGCCAAGGGAGTTGTAAATTATTGTTCCTGCCCGTGGTTTGGGTGGTAGGTTCACCCGTGCTCAATAGAATTTTTTACTTTTTAGGGAGAACAGTATAATGAAATTTAAGCAAGTAAAATAAAAGAAGGCCAGGCATGGACCTGCAATGACTCTATGTCATGACCCAAGGATGTGTCCCTCATTAAAAAAAAAAAATCACTGTAATAGGGTGATGGATAAGTATGTGCTCCACGGCCCTGCGGCTGTCCTCACAGCCTCAGGCACCACCATCCCCTGTGGCCACTCCAAAGAATGGGCACAGACCAGAAAAATGAAAAGAGCCCAAACTGGAGGAAGTGGTGACAACGGGGACATCTGCATCAATGCCCTCTCACGGCCCAGGACGTGACCCTCCTCCTCCAGACGTCCCCTGCCCCCCGCCTGGCGCCACCCAGAGGCCTGCCCCAGCCCGATCTGCCATCCTCCCCCCACCCTCCCCAGGAAACCTGGGTCCCCTGCTCGGCGCTGCACGTCTGGTGCAAGTTACGCCCCCCTCGTGCTTGGCATTTTAAGGGGATGAAAAAGGACATGCCAAAGGCCTGAGGAGCTGACAGGGACCCCCGAGGCCCCCTCACCTTGCACGTGCTCCAGCTGCAGGAAGATGGAATCCTCACTCACGAAGTAGCGAAGCAGCTTCGTCATGTAGGGGACGCCGTGCGGGATGATGGTCAGCCGCTCCCGGTTCGCCACGTGACACCTGGACAGGCTCTGGGGGAGGACAGGCAGGTCAGCGGGGCACAGACCAGACGGTGCCCTGCGAGGGGATGTCCTAGCCTGGCCTTAGGGGCAAACATGATAGGGGTTAGAACCCACCCCAAAGAGCAACTGCCTCCCCCAGTTCCTGACCTGGCCCTCACCCCTGCTCCCACCACAGAATCCAGGCCCTCACCCCTCTGAAACAAGGATGAGGCAGTGTGTGTGTGTCTGGGAGGCGGGGGACATGCTCAGGGGCAGAACAAGCAGCTTTTAGATTTGGAGGGAGCCTGGTCTTCAGGTACAGATTCTGGGTGGGAGGTTCCCCAGAGGGCAGGGGTTCCAAGAGTGGCGGGAAAGCTCCAGGGGGGGATGCAGGGTGGCAGGGGACTAAGTGGCACCTGCCTTTACCACGAAGGTCCCTCCGGTCGCTGGGTCCTGGACCAGCTGCACCTGCCAAGGTCCAGGAGGCACCAGTCAAGGCACAGGCTAGTTCCTGGGGCTCCAGAGTCCGAGCCCCAGCTCCCCAGGTTCCTCTCTCCAGGGCAGGCTGTAGTGGTGCAGTGTGTGCCCCTGGCCCCCCAACGAGCTGACATCAATCCTGTCCTCACCCCCCCTTCGTTAGACCTGCAGTTTTCGCTCCGGTGCCAGCCCGCAGGTCAGGCTGGGACCCCTAATCTGTCTCCAGTGCTCTCTGGGCTCACCCTTAGGGAGCCCGATCACTGTGTCTACTTTCCCATCTCCCCACTCGGCAATGAGCAATATGAGGGCAGGGACTCCCCTGTCAGCTCTCTTCCCAGAGTCCTGCACGGTGCAGGGATGTCGGAGATGCTTCATCCGCACGTGGCGTGTGGTCCCTTCTGCGGGGTTGAGGGTGTCCTGGCTGGGCGGGACCTCAGAGCCAGTCACTGCTTCTGATCTCTTATTTTACAGGTGAAGCAGCTGAGGCTTTGAGAGTGCAGCCCAAGGTCACCCATGGGCCGAGCCGTGCCCAGGAACACACAGGCTTGGCACGCTCCTTTGGGTCCCTGCCACTGCCTGCCCCTCCCCTTTTTAAAATAGTCTTCCTCTCTGGAGGCGTCTTTGGAGAACAGCCCCCTTCTCCCGTTGCTTTTGGTCCAAGGCAGCAACATGCCAATTGCTGGGTCAGGGCCTTGTTTGGAGTTGGGCCCTTGACTCATCTCTGTGGTGGGCAGGGGTGGACCCCAGCCACAGGAGAGAGCAGGAGCGTGTTGGGGCAGGAAAGCAGAAGATTTGGCCAGGTGAGGGTGGGGGCAAGACCAGCACCCTGATGTCGTGACTCCTTGGCAGTCTGCCTGCCCTGCAGACACTCCCCTTGGTGGCAGGTGGGCACCCCCCGCACCCAGCCAGGCCACAAGGCAGTGGCAAAGCCTGCATCCAAGGATCAGGGTGGGAAAGGGGCCCTGGGTTTAAATCTTGGGCAAGTGAATTGATTTTCTCATCTACCAAACAGGAATTACAAATGCCCACCTTCCCTCATTACTGGTTTGTTGAAGCATAAATAGAAAGGCCCTTTATGGGCACCTGGGTGGCTCAGCTCGGGTCAGGATCTCAGGGTCCTGGGATGGAGCCCCACATCGGGCTCCATGCTCCGCAGGGAGCCTGCTTCTCCCTCTCCCTCTTGTTCTCTTTCTAATAAATAAAATCTTTTTTTAAAAAAGGCCCGGGCGCCTGGGGGGCTCAGTTGGTTAAGCAACTGCCTTTGGCTCAGGTCATGATCCTGGAGTCCCGGGATGGAATCCCTGCCCAGCGGGGAGTCTGCTTCTCCCTCTGACCCTCCCCCCGCATACTCTATCTCATTCTCTCTCTCTCTCAAATAAATAAATAAAATCTTTAAAAAAAATAGAAATAAAAAATACATTTAAAAAGGCCCTTTGTTTCTATAAAGGCCAGGAGAATGCCAGTTGCCACATTGGCCACATCACACTGCCTCTCTGGACCTTGTTCACCTGCAAAATGGGGTGACGGCAGGACCTGCTTTAGGTCAGGAGGACGACTCCATTCCAGCAGACACGTCTAACGGCCGCCTGCGCCTGCCACGCCACATGCCCTCCCCCGATAATCTGCACTGACTGTCCCTGACTCTTGATTTTGGCTCAGGTCATGATCTCAGGGTCAGGAGATAGAGCCCCGTATCGGGCTCTGTGCTCAGCTCGGTGTCTGCTTGGGTCCCTCCTTCCAACCCTGCACTCTCTCTCTCTCTCAAATAAATAAATCTTAAAAAAAATAAAATAAAATGCAGCACTGTTCATTGGAACATGAAATATGTGTCTGGCTAAGAGCACTTATTCTGTGCTAAATGCTTTATACAGATTACTTAATTTTAGCCCCACAGCCCTACCAGGTGAGTGTTATGAACGACCCCTTTTATTGATGAAGAAGCTGAGGTTCAGAGAGGTTGTGTTACCTATGGTCCCACTGCCAAAAAGCGGTAGAGGCGGGATTTGAAGCCAGGCAGGGATGACCCCGGAGCCCTGGAGACCGAACTGCAAGGGGGGCACAGCCAGGTGACCATGGCACCTGCCCTCCCTTCGGTCTCAGCTCCCCGTCAGTGCCCTTCCGGAGGCAGCAGTGATGCCTGCCTTCTGACCGCCAGAGGTCTCTCCTCCAACAGCCAGAGATGGAACCCAGCCCGACCCCAGCTCCTTGACCAAATTTGTGCAATGTTTGAAAAAGCAAGACCGAAAACTCCGGGGTCATTTAGGAGAATCGAGTTTCCCACAAATACTGACACCCTGGATAATTCCCCACTGTCCCTTGCCAACTGGGATTCCCTACCACCTTGTCCTGGCTAAGGTCCTCTCAGAGAGTCCAAAACGCCAGCGGTGAAGGCTCTGGAAGCCAGATTTAAAACTTGATCAGTACGCTGGAACAAGTGTGTTTAAATATATATATATATTTATGTATTTTTTAATACACACTCGCGCACGCACACATCTACCTGTCTGGAAAGAAATAGACCAAAACACTAATAGCAATTATCTTGGAGCTAGGTAGGATGGTGGGGAATATATATATGGTTTTAAACTCCTTTCTCTTTCATATCTCAAGAGCAGAGGGGGCATTTTCCCCTTAAAGTAAGCAAACAAAAGAATCCCCCTCCTCTTTCGCTCAGTGCTATGGGGGACAGAACACTAGCTAGTCACTTGACCTTATGAACCTCTGTTTCATTCTCTGTAAGACAATTATTAAAATGCAGCACTGTCCAAGGGCGCCTGGGTGACTCAGTCGGTTAAACATCTGCCTTCGGCTCAGGACATCCCAGGGTCCTGGGATGGAGCCCCACATAGGGTTCCCTGCTCAGGGGGAAGACTGCTTCTCCCTCTCCCGCTCCTGCTCCCCCTGCTTGTGCTCTCTCTGTCAAATAAATAAATATAATCTTAAAAAAAAAATGCAGCTCTGTCCAAGGCGCCTAGATGGCTCAGTTGGTTGAGCATCCGACTCTTGATTTTGGCTCAGGTCATGATCTCAGGGTCGGGAGATAGAGCCCCGTACCGGGCTCTGTGCTCAGCTCGGTGTCTGCTTGGGTCCCTCCTCCCAACCCTGCACTCTCTCTCTCTCTCTCAAATAAATAAATCTTAAAAAAAAAATAAATAAAATGCAGCACTGTTCATTGGAACATGAAATATGTGTCTGCACTGTCCAATACAGAAGCCATTAACCATATGAAAAGCCAACAAGTCCTTGAAACATGGTTGGGTAAATGAGAAGCAGAATATTTAATTTTAACTAATTTTAACTTCAATAGTCTTATGTGGCTAATGACTAGTGGATGGGGCTGCACAGCCTAGTGCTTTTTTCCCAGGGCAACTGAGAGGGTTTAATGCAACAGTTTCGCAAATGAGAATGTGCCTTACTCATGTCAGGTGAATGTTGCCATTTGGAAGGTAGAAGGTAGTTCTGGGTGTCCCTACTTCACCTTTTCATAAAGGGAATTTATTTTTTTTAAAGATACCCCCTGAGATCTTGGGACACGGAACAATGAAAGCTTCGGTGAAACCCATTAACACTTTCTTTAAAAATGCCCAAAGTATCAAAACCCCAGGAGGACTCTCTCATGGAGCAACCAAATCCAAAAGTTCCAAACAGATTCTCCAACTCCAAGGCCCACAGGGGCCTGGGACATGAACCAAGGGGGCAGGGCAGGGACAGGAACAAACCAGAGGACTGGTGTCCCATTAAAACCGGCACCCCCCACCCCGACTCCTTGCTGCCACGTGAGGATGTGAGCCAGCGTTTCCAGATCTTCCAATTTTGCAGGAGAAGCAGGAAATCTGGACTTCTATATGAAACCTGCCAATTTTTAAATGTTGGTAAGTAATGATAATTTTAAAAAACACCCGTGTGTTCGAGCCAAAAAAACAAGAAGTAACTTGGATGGCCTTCTTTTTCTTCCCCATCTCTGGCTCCTACATGAAGCTCAGCAAACATGTGGTGATATCTCTCAGGCCCCCCCATGCTCCCTGAGAACAAACCCCTGGGTATTCTAGCCAGAGACCTATCTAGTCCCTGATCTCCCCGCCACCTTGCAGTTTCCAGTAACCCCCTCCCCCTGCCAGTACCTCCTTAGCCCCTAGGGATCCCTTTCCCAGCCCGGTTCACCTAACAAGTGGGCATCTCCGGGGGCACTTCAGGCTTCTTGAGCAGACCCTTGGCCCCTCCCTGGCCCCGAGGGCTGCTGGCCAGGCGCTGCTCTCCTGCCAGAATCTGCCTGGGCAGGGCTGCAGAATGGAGCGCCTGTCTGCAGGGACCTGGGCCCAGGGGCCCTAACATCTCTCCTAATTTGGGGACGATGTTCCCGACTTGGAAATGACACAGGAAAGGGAAGCAGGATCTCAGGAGGGAGGTGGAGTAGGTAAACTGGATGCCCAAGAGAGGGTAAAAAAGGAATGAAAGAATCTCAAAACAGAATGGTTGGGCTTGGCCTTATTTTGTGCTTCCCATATGCACAGGCCTCAGAATCCTGGATTCTGAAAATGCTTTGCATATGCCGCGTGTCCTGGGGTCAAACAAATTCGGGAAATTCTATCACAGACCTCCTTCTCGGAAACTCATGGTATACATTTGCATCCTCAAAGCTCTGCAAACTCCTATAATTAAAAAAACAAAGTCATGTCACTCTAACTCCCTGTAATCCACACTGGTTGGACCTGGAACCCCCCCCCCTCCACACCACCTATGGTTCTGCGGGATCCCACGTGAGGAAAAGGTGGTGGCAGTCCCCTCCGGGCCGGTCTGTGGGAGCCGCTGTCCTTGGCTGGGGCCGCACAGACGAGTGCAGTTGGAGGGAAGGCAGATGGAAGCTGGCCGGGCCTTGGCTGACAGACTGGGGCCTGTTCCAGGGACCTGGGGAAGCAGCTGGAGCGCGGCTGGGGGACGGGAAGCCTGCACGCCTCCCCGCCCCCCTTGTCACTAGCATTTAGGGCCATCAAACGCATATCAAATGTTTCAGCGTGTGCCAGGCCTTTCCCAAAAGTTATTTCATTTTAGTTCCCACATGCCCCCGTGGGGGGGAGGATTCTTATCCCGCTCACAGATGAGGAAACGAACGGGGAGGTGAAGGGGTTTGCTGTGGCCACACTGCGTGCAGCAGGCGTCCTCTGTGAGCCACGGGCCCAGCAAAATCCCCCGATGAGTGTTTAAATTACAGATGCCAGGGCTCAACGCTGGAAATTCTGCCTCCACGGGCCTGGGGTGGGGCCCAGGAATCCCTATTTAGGAAGCTCCCCAGGTGATTCTGATGAACAGCCAATCTGAGAAAGACCCACGTTAGCAACTACTCAGGTGTGGCCTGGGTTGGGGCAGAGGGCAACCGAATATTGGCTCAGATCTCATTTGACTCAACTGTCTGTCCTTCTGGATCCCCCACTCTGAGGAGTGTCCCGTACAAGTTGGGATGTCGGCTCCTATCTCCCTTCCTGCCCCACATTAAGAGAAAAGGCCTTAGACGGCGTCAGGATGCGGGGGAAGGCAGGAGGGGATGGGCAGAGCTGCTGAGGCCCCTCTGGGGGCCGGGACCCTCAGCAGGACAGGCTTCTGGAGAGGAGTGTACACTCGCACCAAACAAACTCCTCGGCAGGACTTGGAGACAGCCCTGGGGCGCAGAGGGAGGGTGGGTGGGGGCCTGTGGGAAGCGGGAGGGGGAGTGAGCAGGGCCATGTGCGCTGGCTGGGAGCCCTGGGCATTGCTTCTCCGGCTTCTGTCTTGAGCCTCTAAGGGAGTGGCTGTCTGTCTGAGCTCCAGGCTATGGAAAAGGGACCATTTGCCTCTTCTGTTCCCCTTTTCCTCTCCAGGACCTGACTGACGTGTGCTGGGCTGGGAGGAGGGTGGGGAGCCAATGGACACAGCTACTCTCCTCCCCTGGGGCCCTCCGACCCCTTTCCAGCCCCTTCTCCTCCCCCACCACCCCCATCTGCCTGCCCCATCTCCTTCAGCACCAAAACCGTGGCTGTCAGCTCACAGCTCACTCACCTTCTCGATGACCCCAACCACCTTGCAGCCCCTCAGCTGCTCCAGGGCAGAGCTCAGTGTGCGGATGGGCCGGAGCCTCAGGCTGCTGAAACCCTGCAGAGGTGGGAGACAGAACCCACAGACTCAGGGCCCAGCCCTCCTCAGGCACTGCCTTCTCACCGGGCCCTCCCCAGCTGCCAAAAGAGCAGTGGGCACTAGGGGCAGAACTGGGGTCCACGGAGCACCCACCTCACAGGGAACAGACAAGCTGGCCCTGACTGGCAGGGCACCCCCTCGGTCCCAGGTGACCACACTGCCCTCTACACTCGGCGCCCCCCACCAGCCCTCCTCCAAGGCCCAGGGGAGTCCTCAGGCTTCAGATCCCCTGTCTTGAAAGCCCCACCCATAGGAGGCAGGTGCTCCCAGGGGTGGGGAAATAACCCAGGGACATGAGGGTCTCAGGGAACATGCCTGGAAGACCCAGGCATGTGGCTCGGGCACCTGCTTTGGGGAAAAGCAGCCTAATAAGATGCAGAAGAGAAAATACATTTCCAGCACTGTGGTGTCGATCGAAAAACTCCGAGTATAAGTGGACCCACGCAGTTCAAACCTGTTCAAGGGTCAACTGTGCTCACCCAAACTTCAACCCATTCAAATTTCAACAGACGTGGGAAACTTGGGAGTGTGTACACATGGAGCTTACATATGAGCCGTGCATGAGAGTCTGGAGGTGTGTGTGTGTTTACCCTGTGCGGGGGTGAGACTGGCCTGGAGACGATGTGCTAAGGGTTCAGAGATGAAGGAACTAGTTGGGTGTGGGAGACGGAGGGAGCCAGCAGAATGGCAGGGAGACAGCCCTGTCCCTGGCACGCACACAGCCCAGGACAGGAGGTGACAGCCCTCTGGCCCGTGGGGGGCAGGGAGCCTCGCTCTCTCCTCCCCCCCCAGAGCCGTCAGGCCTTTGGGGAGCGGTCTCCTCACCGTGCCGGGGCCGGCCCCACCGCCCAGGGTCTTCTGCAGGTGGCAGGTGAAGATCTCCTCGGCCCGCCGCAGGTACTTGGTAATTTTCAGCTTCACAGCCTCGCATCGCTCCTTGTTGGGGTCGACTGTGGGGTGAGGGAGTCACCAGGACCCACCCTGGCCCTGCGGGGGGCTGGGGCTCCAGCGCCCGCTGCCCGCCCTCTGCCCTCTGCCCTCTGCAGGAGAGAGCGCCTGCTTCTAAGGCTGGTGTGCAGACAGTGCCCTGCCCGCCCCCGTCCCCCCTCCCCACCCAGCCTTCCTCTGGGCGGGAGTCCGGCAGGTGCAGCCGCAGAAGGAAGATGGGGGGAGAGGCTGGGAACGGTGGTCACAGGTGGCACCCCCCCCACCTCACTGGCTGCCATCACACCCCGGGAAGGAAGAGAGGGGGATTCCGGAGTCTGTTTGCAGAGCAGGAGACAGAAGCTCCCAGAGAACAGCCCTCTGCCTTCTCTGAGACCCAGTGTGAAAAGGCCGGAATGGGGACCAGGATTGGAAAAGGAACAGATTCACTGGGCAGTCGGCCCCAGCGTTGGCGGGGCTCCGTGGCGGGGATGGGGGAGTGAGGGGGGAGGAAGTGTGAAGCAGGGCCTGACTCCTACCCCCCACCGCCCTCAGGGGTCTCCACCTGGCCTCTCCCCTGCAGGCACAATGCCCCACTTTGCCCTAAACAGGCTGCTCTCTCTCTCTCTCTCTCTCACCAGATGGCCCTTCATTTTGACTTCTAGAAAATACCCTATGCTGGCCTAGCCTGGCGTCCCTTTCCCTCTTTTCTCCCCTCATTTCTTCCTCATTGCTCTTCCCACCAGAGAGGGAATTATCCAACATTAAACTCATCAGTCTCCCCCCTGGTGATGCAAGCCCCCAGGACAGGAGCCCCGCTCGCTCCAGGGACGTACGGGGTCAGCGCCCAGCCTCTGGATCCCCAACTGTTCAAGCCTCAGCTCTGCCACTGAGAGCTATGGAAACTTAAGCAAGTAATTTAACTGCCTGGTGCCTCGGTTTTCACATCTGGAAAATAGGAATAAAAATAGTTCCTATATACGACATCAACAACGTATGTAATCATTTCCATTACTGTGAGGTTCAAATGAGTTAATACAGGTAAAGCCCTTAGACCAGGGTCCGGCATACAGGAACCACTCACACAGGCCTTGCTGCCCTTGCCACAGGCCTGCGGGGCCAGCCTAGAGCCTTGCTCACTCAGCACAGACGGACAGAGGATGGGGGGGAGCCCCAAGCCCGCCCTGCCCCAGCAGCTCCCGCCCCTGGCCCCCCGGGCCTCACCGTGCACACCCCGCAGCAGCAGGTCCACGCCGTTCTGGTAGTGGTTGAAGGCTGCCTCGTAGTCCTCACTGACATCGCGCTCCAGGGCCAGCCGGATCTGCGTGGCTGCATCCACCAGGTAGTCGCGCTTGGTCACGTCAGGGGCCCCGGGGGCCACCAGGTTGCGAATCTGCTCCAGGTACACGCGGGCCTGGGACCGTGCTCGGGAGCAAGGCTCAGGCTCCAGGCCAGGGCCCGGGGGACACTCGCAGGCCACCAGGCTCATGGCTGCTTGCCCTGTGGCGGTGACCTGAAATCAATAGACGCCCTGGGGAGGCCCCGGCGGCGAACAACAGCCCATCGGTACCCTGGCTTCCTCCGCTGAAAACTGGGAGACTAATACTCACCTCCAAGGGCTGGAGGGATCAGAGCTAGTGCGGGTAACATCCCTCTACGGGGCCAGACCTTTTCTTAATGGTGATAATAGAATAATAACATGCTCAGGGCTCTTCCTTTCAATTCAAATTCACATCAACAGGTATTTCTTGAGCACTGGAGAGAGCTGAGGACATCTGTGATGCAGAACTGCCTTCCTGGGGTCTCACAAACTAGTGTCTAGCACATGTAAACATATGTCGGCCACACACCAAGGCTGTTCCTCACACTGTTCCCTCCATCCTGCCTATTCTCCTGGTCATACTCCTCCTACAGGAATCTCATTTATCCTTCAGGGTTCAGCTCAGTGGCACTCCCTGAACAGGAGAGATTGCCCCCACCTTATTTAATTCCCTTTGGTGCCGAGGTCAGCAAGTGAGGACCGCCCCCCCCACCCCCCCACCCGAGCCTGGCAGAGAGTTAGGCACAAGGCCTGGCCTTAAACCTGTGGGCAAATGAAATGACCGAGTGACAGATTCTGGATCGACGTAGGAGAAGGAGGGCAGAGCCGACCCGGCCCCAGGGAGGCAGCGGCACTCTCCTGGCTCCGTCTGAGTAAGCCAGGGGGCCACGTGGCCTCCCAGGACCTAGCAGCTTATCCCTAGCAGGGATAAGAGCAGTGGCTTCAGGAAAGGAAAGGGCTCTGGAGAGGTCCACAGAGCTGCCCCTACACCTCCGCCCCCAGCCTCAGTGGCACCTGTGTTCTCGCAGGCCCCACTGAGAAGGGCAGGGCCTGAACTTCCAAGACTAGGTCACCTCTGCCTCTGTGGAGAGAGGGAATAGATAGAACAGGATGGGGAGTGGGGCGGGGAGGGAAACCGACATCCCCCAGGCCAGCGGGAAGCTGAGCTCCGGCCAGGATGCGGCCACGGGGTGGAGGGAAGGAGAGAGGGAAGCCGCACCCTCCTTGCTCCGCCCAGCCCCCCGGGACCCGCAGCTCGGAGGCCTGTGCTGGGGCGGGCGGGCGCCAAGGCCGAGGGGCTGGGCTGCTCGAGTCAGGCCACCGGGCCACCCCGCCGGGTTGGGTCCCCCGGGGCAGGACTGCGGGGCCGCGCCTGGACCCGGGAAGCGGAGCGCCCAGCCCGCGAGTCCCGGCACGCAAGGTGCGCCACCCGGCGCGGTGGGACCGAGGGAAGCTGCGGGAGTGAGAGGAGGGGCCGCCCGCGCCTGGAGGACCGGGGCCCGGAGGAGGAGCCGGGCAAACCCCGTACCTGCCCGAGCCAGGAGCTCGGTCCGCGCGGTCGGACCTACCCCTGCCGCCACCGCCCCTCGAGCGGGAGGCCGTGCACCACCCCGCAGCCTTGCGCCCTCCAGCCAGGTGCAGGGGCCTGGCCGGGTGCAGCCTGGCCATTGGCTGCGGATGAGCTCATCCTCCAGCGTTAGAATAAACCGCCAATCAGCACCCGGCTCCGTTTCTGACGGCTCTTAAAGCCCCAGCATCCGCAAAGCCGGACTCCGGGAGAGGGAGTGAAGGGGGAAGGGGGCCGGTCCGTAATCACCTAGGGCTGCGGGAGAGCCTGCTTCCGCAATCGAAGCCAACTAGGGGCGCAGGGGTGGCTCAGTCGGTTGAGCTGGGACTCTTGGTTTCAGCTCAGGTCATGCTCTCAGGGTCCCGATCCAGCTCTGGGAGGGCTCCATGCTCAGCGAGGAGTCTGCTTGAGATTCTGTCTCTCCCTCTCCCTCTGCGCCTCCCCCTGCTCGCACTGGGGCACTCTCTGTCTCTCTCTCTAAAAATAATTAATTAAAAAAAAAAAGAAAGAAATCTAGGTCGACTAGAAAACATGCATGCCACTTCTGGGACTTTTCTCATTCATTATTTCATTCGTTCGTTCAACTATTTAATACTTCTGTACTGAGACACGACTATGCAGGAGGAACGAGATGCTGAGACACAGCGCTGGAACAGACAGCCTCTGCTCACGTCTTCGGGGGTTTACAGTCTAGGGAGGGATCTAGGGATTAAAGAACTAAAGAATACAGTTGATGGTTCATTCCAGTTGTGATCAGAGCTGCATCAGAGAAGCACCACAGGGCCTATGAGACTTACAACAAGGGGAATGACCTGGTCTGGGGGTCAGAAGGCTTTCTGGAGGAAGTGATATCTGAACTGGGCATACAGACCTCACTTTCTCCGCCTCCCCCCCCACCCCCCCACCCCCCCGCAGTGCTGCATTCATACTCTCCTTAGTGCACTGTCTCTCCCCTAGATATCTTATCATCCAGGTCCCCTTTCCTGAACCCCAACACCTCCTCCTCTATCCTCATTCCCAGTCGGAGACATGCTTCCTCCTTCCCTTGAAAACACCGGAGCTCTCTTCTTCTGTTTGCTCTCTGCCCACCAGCCAGGTCTGCACCCACATACTGCCTCCCCTTACCACAGATGACCTGTCTGTGCCCCATCAAAGGCCAGCCTTCCACTTGGGATCAGCCCCGTCCTATCACCTACTCAAGGAACCATTCCAGCAATTCTCCCCTCTCTGTCCTGCATCATTAATTTTTGGCTCCCACCAGATCATTCTCATCTGATACAATCATAATGCTGATTCTAAACACTTTTAAAGCAAAACAAGAAAACAAAACAAAACAAAACCACTCTTGGCCTCACTTCTCCCTTTATCCACCACCCTAGGTTTGTAGCAAAGCTCCTTGAAAGAGAGGTCTATGCTCGCCCTCTCATTTCTCTTCTCCTACTCTTTCTTGAACCTGCTCTGATGAGGCTTTCTTCTTCAACATTCCTCTGAAATTGCTCTTGGTCAGGCCACTGGAGTGGCTCAGTTGGTTAAGTAGCTGACTCTTGATTTGGCTCAGGCCATGATCTCAGGGTCATGAGACTGAGCTCTGTGTGGGGCTTCGAGTGGGGTCCTGCGCTGGGCATGGAGTCTGCTTAAGATTCTCTTTCCCTCCGCCCCTCCTCCCACTGCTCACTCACTCTCACTCTCAAAAAAAAGGGGGGGGGGACACCTGTGTGTCTCGTCGGTTGAGCATCAGACTCTTGGTTTCAGCTCAGGTCATGATCTCATGGGTTGTGGGATCGAGCCCCACATCAGCCTCCACACTCAGTGGGGAGTTGACTCGAGATTCTCTCCCTCTCCCTCTGCCCCTCCCCCGCTCTCTCTCTCAAATAAATAAATAAATAAGTAAAATCTTAAAAAAAAAATGAAATTACTCTTGGTCAAGTTACCAGTGACCTCCTGGTTGCTAAACCCAATGGTCATTGCTTGGTCTTCACTTTCCTTGACCTCTCAGAAGCATCCAACCCAGGTGATCATGCCTTTCTCCCTAGGCTTCTGGAACCCACACTCTCCTGGTTGCCTCCTGTTTCACTAGCAGCCCCTTCCCAGTTTCCTTTGATGGCTCTTCTCCTCCTCTCCAGCTTCTGAATGTTACAGTGACCCAGGGTTTAGTCCTTGATGTTTTCCTTCCCTCTACCTTTATTGTCTTTTTTTTTTTTTTAAGATTTTGTTTATTTATTTGACAGAGAGAATGAGAGAGTACGAGCAGGTAGAGGGGCAGAGGAAGAGGGAGAAGCAGGCTCCCCGCTGAGCAGGGAGCCCAGTGCAGGGCTTGATTCCAGGACCCTGGGATCATGACCTGAGCTAAAGGCAGACGCTTAACCGACTGAGCCACCCAGACACCTCTATCCTTACTGTCTTGATGAGGATTGCATGTAGTCTTATGATTTTAAACAGCATTCTTCTATATGCTGATGGTTCTGTATATCTATTTATCTATTTACAGATATCTTCTTTTTTTTTAAAGATTTTATTTATTTATTTATATATTTGAGAGAGAGAGAGAAACAGCATGAGAGGGGAGAGGGTCAGAGGGAGAAGCAGGCTCCCCACTGAGCCGGGAGCCTGATGTGGGGCTTGATTCCAGGACTCCGGGATCATGACCTGAGCTGAAGGCAGTTGCTTAACCAACTGAGCCACCCAGGCGCCCCTTTACAGATATCTTCTATCTTCTGTATCTATTAGCCTTCGCCTCTCTACCAGACTTAAATATTTAATAGTCTAATAAAACATCTCAAATTCAACACGTCCAGAACTAAAGTTTTAAAACACAGCCTACAGAATTGGAGAAAACATCTGTAAATCATTTATCTGATAAGGGTCTAGCATCCAGAATATAACAAGAACCCTTACTATTCAACAATAAAATGACAAATAATCCAATTTAAAAGAGGCAAGGGATTTGAGTAAACACTTCTTCAGAGAAGATATACAAATGGCCAATAAGCACTTGAGAAGATACTCAATATAGTTAGTCATTAGGGGAATACAAATTAAAACCACAATGAGATACCACGTCATATCCACTAGGATGGCTATGATTAAAAAAGATAGACAATAGCAAGTATTGACAAGGATCTGGGGAAGTTGGAACTATGACACATTGCTGGTCAGAGTGTAAAATGTTGCAGCTACTTTGGAAAGCAATTTGAAAGTTCTTCAGAAAAGAGTTACCATATGACCTAGCAATCCACTAATGGGTCTCTCTATACTCAAGAAAACTGAACACATATGTTCACATGAAAACTTACACTGGATGTTTATAGTGGCATCATTCATAATAGTCAAAAAGTGGAAATAATCCAAACATCCATCAACTGATGAATAGATAAATAAAATATGGCATATCCATATAATGGAATATTATCCAGCCATAAAAATAATGAAGTACGGATGGGCGGGTGAACCTTGAAAACATTATGCTGAGTAAAAGAAAGCAGACACAAAATACTACATATTTTATGAGTTCATTTATATAAAATTTCGACAACAGGCAAGTCCATAGGGACAGAAAATAGATTTCAGGGAGAGGGGAATGGGGGAGTGGCTAAAGAATATGGATTCCTTTTCCAGTTCAGCAAATGTCCTGGAATTAGTGAGATGGTTGCAACATTTGTCAATATACTAAGAACCACCAAATTCACATGTTTTTAAAAGATTTTATTTATTTGTCAGAAAGAGAGAATGCGAGTGCTCAAGCAGGGGGAGCGGCAGGCAGAGGGAGAAACAGGCTCTCTGCTGAGCAAGGAGCCTGATGTGAGGCTCCATCCCAGGACCCTGGGTTCAGGATCAGAGCTGAAGGCAGACACTTAACTGACTGAGCCACCCAGGTGTCCCACAAATTCACATTTAAAGAAGTGAATGGTATGTGAATTCGATCTCACTTTAAAAATTATCGTAAGGAAAAAGAAAAACTGAATTCTTGATCCTCCCTGACCTGAAACCTCCATCTAAAGCCTCTTCCAGCTCCATCCTTCCAATTGCTCAGGCCAAAAATTTGGGAGCCATCCTGGCTTCTCCTATTTTCTCACACTCTATATCCAATCCATTAGAATGTTATACTGGTTTTTCCCACAAAATATATCCAGACTTGGGGCGCCTGGGCGGCTCAGTTGGTGGAGCGACTGCCTTCGGCTCAGGTCATGATCCTGGAGTCCCGGGATCGAGTCCTGCATCGGGCTCCCTGCTCAGCGGGGGGTCTGCTTCTCCCTCTGACCCTCCCCCCTCTCATGCTCTCTATCTCATTCTCTCTGTCTCAAATAAATAAATAAAATCTTTAAAATATATATATATATATATCCAGAGTCTGAGCACTGCTCACCCCCTCCGCTTCTCAACTCCACCTCCACTGGTATGACGTTGGTAGGGGCATCTTCATCACATACATGATTTACTGTTGGAGATTCCTCCTGGCTTCCTGTTTCTACCACTGCCACCCTCAAGGCAATCCTCAACACTGCGTCAGGGGATCCTTTCAAAGCACAGGTCAGAGCCTGTCCCTCTTCTGCTCCAAAGTCTGCAAGGGCTCCCATCCTTCTACTGAGAAAAACTCCAAGTCTCTACTATGACCTCCAAGGCTCTCATGGTCACCCTTCTCCATTATTTCTGCAGCTTCATCTCCTTCCAGCCTCACTCACTCAACACCAGCCACTCAGGCTTCCTTGTTGCTTCTGGAACATACCTGGCAGCTCCCACCCCCAGAGCCCTTGCCTTGCAGCTATCCTCTCCCTGGAATAGTCTGCCTTTGGCCCTCTGCCTGGTAAACCCTAGCCTTGCTTCAAGTCATTGCCCTGCTGTCCTTTCTTGAGAGACCCACTCTGACTACACCCTCCCAACACCCCATCTCCCATACCCTGTTTCGCTTCTGTCCCACTGTACTCAACCCCATTAGCATGCAATATCATTTACTTAC